ATATATATACACACACATATATACATATACACACACATATATATATATATATATATATATATATATATATATATATATATATATATATATATATATATATATATATATATATATAAAAGTTTATATTCACTGCACCATACGTAATTGTATATTATTTTTTTGAGACTTAATATTTATATTCTCAACTGCATATATTACATGAATACAAACTGTGGTTATTATTATTATTATTATTATTATTATTATTATTATTATTATTATTATTATTATTATTATCACACAAACACAGAGAAGGGGGAGCTATGGAAGGAATAGATTAAGATGGAGTTCTGCTTCCTTGATTCCGTTTGTTATGATTTTGTCCACCCCCCCCCTCACTGCCTTTTGACATACAGAAACTTTTCTTACATAGCTATAGACTGAGTTGTATAAGAGATAATAATTAAAAGTAATTTTTGGTGATTGGCAATTATAGCGACAAACGCCATAAAAGGTTCTTTTGTTTATTAATGTACAGAACTGACACGTGTTCATATTAATGCTATAATTTCCAACTCGAAAACATAATATATATCAGGCTAGAACATCCAACTGCAAATTGAGAAGACATTTTCTACCTCTGTCCATCTATAATCGTGTATTTAAAGCTAGATTTTAGAAATATTTGATTTATGATAATATAAACTCTTATATGATTTTGGTATACGATAGACTTCGTCAAATAAAACCGAAAAATATTTAATGAAGTTTTTTCATAATTACCATTTATGGTATCGTATTTTACATGTTGCAATACTGGTAGTATTTATGTTTTTTACTATTTTTTACTGTTTTATTATTCTTAAGCTAAGAAATAAATTTTTTTTATCAATAAAATCATGAAACTACTGGAAATATAAATATATATGCTAACTCACGTAGCTGCAACCCCAATACATTGTACGCTATCGGACACTATTTCGCATGATGCAATATTGTGAGTTATACTGTTCGTACGTATATAAAAATTTGTTTTTTACTATTTTTTGCTGTTTTAAATATCATTCAATTACGTATGGTGCAGTGAATATAAACTTTTATATATATATGTGTGTATATGTATATGTGTATATATATGTATATATATATATATATATATATATATATATATATATATATATATATATATATATATATATATATATATATATATATATATATATATATATATCCTGTGCCCTGTGGGGCGGGCACAATATCAAAGAATAGCCTCACCGTATTCCTGCGTGTCGTAAAAGGCGACTAAAAGTGGACGGGGCGGGGGACTGGGAATCCCCCCCCCTTGTACCAACCTCCTGTGAGACGTCAAAGAAGAAGGGGAGTGGGGGGGAGAATAACTTCTCCCCAAACTGTTTTCCTTTTTTGATGTCGGCTACCCCCCAATTTAAGGGGGAAACAGCCAAGGTATATGTATATATGTATGTATAGGCCTATATTGTCGCCCATTCTGATCGCATCGTCATATTCCATTTCTTTTCTTAGCCATCGTACCAATAATAATAAAATCTCTCTCTTTTGGCAGTGGAAGATAGGTACTTTAAAAGAAATTCTAAAACACACACACTGTGAAACTCTATACCTGTAACTTACACCTTTTTTTTTTTTAAGGTTAGATTTAAACATTATATGATTAGGATTTATTTTTTGAAACAAATACTCTCAACAGTGAGTGTACAAATTTCGTGCATAAAGTTGACAATGTCAAAGCTTGAATTTTAAATTGTATATTTCTTATAACCCAAACTTGGTTATAGTTTATTTTGTGTAAAAAATCTTGTATGGATTTCTTCACACGTTGAAGTAGTAGTAAAGAGGCTTTTATTCCGCCAAACACAATTATTGTTATATTCTTATGTTTATAGTGTTAAGTTTCTTGTATGTAGATTAATATCTAGGATCAGTTACGTAGTAATAATAATAATAATAATAATAATTAATAATCTAACATAACGGTCTCTTGTTTCCTCACCTGAGAGAGAGAGAGAGAGAGAGAGAGAGAGAGAGAGAGAGAGAGAGAGAGAGAGAGAGAGAGAGAGAGAGAGAGAGAGACAATTTCAGTAGTTTGGAGAGAGGAGTGACATAAAATGGAGTATAGAGTTGCCAACGGTGAATTTTCTCACAATTTGCATAAAGATTTTTAACCATTTTATCGCCAACTTCCTCCACTAAGAGCTCCACTCAGGTCTTTAGAAAGGACCCACACACACTCTCTCTAATTCAATTTGATACTGTGATCATCTGATGATCAAAATTCATACTTCAACGTTTAATGATAAGCGAAGGAAAGTAATTGAAAGATGGTTTGAAGCAGGAGAGAGAGAGAGAGAGGGTATATATTGGCATTTCCCTCCTCTGCCAGTATAGCAAGTTACTTATCTCTGCCTAGGAAACTATCTTTTTATATCCATGTAATAAGACTTTCTGTTCTTTTGATATTTGCTGCAACTGTAAGCACTAGGTTAAGTTTAAATACAATATAATCAATTGTCCCATAGTACTTATTAATTTCGTGGTATCTCTTGCCATTGTACTTTGAGAAGGTGACCAGTTTAGGTCACGAAATTAATAAGTACTTTTTATATATATATTTTCGTTGTTTTATTTAATGGGCTTTTCCTACCATATATATATATATATATATATATATATATATATATATATATATATATATATATATATATATATATATATATATATATCCCCAAACTGTTTTCCTTTTTTGATGTCGGCTACCCCCCAATGTAAGGGGGAAACAGCCAAGGTATATGATGATATATATAAAGCAATGACTAAAATATGAAGAGAGGAGAAGAAAGGGTTGCCTTGCGCAGTGGCTGCGAAATCCAGTATTCCCTTCTCTTATTAGCTTCGCCTATCAGCTGACTATGATCAGTGTTACCAACGTTTCAGAATCTCCACAATTGGGTTGGCACCCCTTTGTCACTCGAAACGCTTGCCATCCTCTGCGCAATAGATGATGATTAACAAGTAAACCTCCCCCCCTTTCCCCTCGATATTAAAAAAATAATGCCTAATAATACAAAACCTTTAATTATTAAGATGCAATTCATAATTGCATCTATCAAGAGGAGAAAATAAAGACAATGCGCAATTATACCATCCATTGCTCCTAATCTAATCCCTCCATCTCATTGTCGACTAACCATTCCATCCTTCTTCTCTTAATATCAAATAAGTCTTTCTTTTATCACAACGAATAATGTGACAGAAATAACTACAACAACAACAACAAATACATTAATAATAATAATAATAATAATAATAATAATAATAATAATAATAATAATAATAATAATAATGTAGTTGTGAATGAGTTCAGCATGAAAAATCTCTTTAATATATTTGCAAGTGAAATAGGTTTTCCTCAGTCGGAGAAACAGATAACCCCCCCCCACATGCTACTTATTTTTTTTATTTACTTCATTATTATTATTATTATTATTATTATTATTATTATTTAAATGATGATGGCGTTTAGAGTAATGGCAAAATTACACCCTATTTGCATATAATGTAACAATATATATATATATATATATATATATATATATATATATATATATATATATATATATATATATATATATATATATATATATATATATATTTTTTTTTTTTTTTTTTTTTTTTTTTTAAGTGTGACACCGGGACAGGCAGAAACTGCCCTCATCAACAAAGGCCCGGGCACGAGAAAATACCAAGACGAAGGAAAAGAAAAAGGTTAAGGGCAAGGCAGAGATCAGGTAATGTCACACAAAGGAAAACGACAGACAGAAAAAGACAGTCAAAGTAAAGAGGACCCAGAGATATGGAGGACTAGGCTCTGAGATGACGATAGATCTGCTTTTTGAAGGATGAAAGGTCGTAAGAATTAAGAAAGACAGAAGGAGGGAGAGAGTTCCAGAGTCTGGACGTAGATGGGAAGAAGCAGTCGCTGCACCGACCAATCCGCGAACTACAAATCTCCACACAGTACCTGTGAGATGAGGCCGCTTGGCGAGTGTTACGCGGCCTCGGCAGTGGAGGAGGGATGCAACTCGCCAACTCATCAGAGCAGCGATGGAAGTAGTAGCGATAGAAAAGCGAAAGGGAAGATAACTTACGGCGAAGAGAGAGAGAATCTGGGTTAGAAGTAAGAGAAGGATCATTAATGAGTCTGACTGCCTTAGATTCAACCCTATCAAGAAGATAAGTAAAGGAAGAAGCACCCCAGATGTGTGAGCAGTATTCTAAGCAGTGGCGGATAAGACCTTTGTAAATTTTAAGTAACTGCAAGGAGGAAAAGTAATGACAAAAACGAAACAAAACCCCCAATTTTTTGGATGAAGATATAGATATTTGGATTATGTGATTCCTCCAAGACAAGTTAGAGGCTATATGATTCCTAATATATTGATAGAGTTAAGAGGGTAAATTTCATTAGTTTCGAAGACAATAGGGTTATCAGGAGGAGAAGAAGATAAAGAGATAGCCAGAAACTGTGTCTTGGAGGCATTGAATTTAACTAAATTTTGAGTGCCCCATTCAGATACTCTCTGCAAATCGGAGTTAAGAGTAGAAGAAAGATTGATACGAGATTGATTACGAGTAACAGATGAAGGTTGTGAAGAAAAGGCAGAGGAAAAGTGAAGGGTAGAATCATCGGCAAAGGCATGAAGAAGGGAGGAAGATGGGGATTGTAGAAGATCATTGATGAAGAGAAGTAAGAGAGTAGGTGTAAGAACAGAGCCCTGTGGAACACCACTGGAAACAGGGAAAGAGCTAGATGTCGCGCCATCAACAACTACAGATATAGAACGGTCAGTAAGAAAACTGGAAATCAGAGAACAGAAAGAAGGGGTAAAACCATAGGCAGGGAGTTTGGCCAAATAGGTTTTTTTTTTTTTTAAACAGCCTACCTCAACAAGTGTATATAAAAAAAAAAAAATGTCAGGAGTGATGAGCATTGTGGCCGAGTGGTGATGCTAGCGACTTTGATTCGCCAGGTCGTGAGTTCGAGGCCCGCTACTCTCTTAGGACAAGAAGGGCATTCACTCAGGGTCATGGTCGCGTTAGCCAAAATTAAAGTCCTTCCAAGAAGGCACCGTCCTTCCCCTTAGCAGAAATTGGGAGGCTGTGACGTAAAACCGAGCACATAAGAGATGTTGGGAGGTAGTGTTTAAGTTGTGATTTTTTTTTTTTAACATTTAGATTGTGATGACATTCATACACTCTGATTGTTAAGGTGCTAACTCTGACTTGTTATATACAAGGGAAAATATCCACGCCGTACTTTGGCTTATTATCTACGGTGAAAATGCTAAATTAGAGGTTTGATTAGGTTAGGAATCTAGATAGCAAAGTAGATAACAAGCATATTTTTGGATAAAATATTTACACCGTACTTTGGCTTGTTAACTACTGCTAAAAATGCTAAATAGAGGGTAAGTTACGTTAGGAATCTAGGTAACAAAGTACATAATAAAGCCTATCTTTGGAAATTAGGTAACAAACTAACTTTCTTGTTGTGGATCACAATATAAAGTATAGATCGCACACCAAAGTAATTCATGGTACTTAGATAACAAGCAGCGATTGTTAATGTATTTTCGTGAATGAAAAAACTAAATTGTAACCGTAAGTCTAACCTAACCTTATTTCAGTGTACGTTACACGTCTAAGTTCACAGAACATTCTGTCATCTATAAAAATGTGATTTTTGTCAGGACAATTTTTTTTTTTTAATACATGACCTATAAAGGAAATGGGACATCAATATCAAATGAAAATAGCGAGACTAGGCCTACAACAGGATATTCAATGTTTTCTTTTTCAATTAAGAAAATCAACCGTACCAAATACAGCATATAAGATCGTCTGTATTTATAGATACCAAATATGAAAACATTTTCCATCCTATATACTAACAAATATACACGAATTGACAGATGAATAGACTCTACTTCATAAGATGAATACTTTCAAGTTTCGACGCGAAGAGAGAGAGAGAGAGAGAGAGGAGAGAGAGAGAGAGAGAGAGAGAGAGAGAGAGAGAGAGAGAGAGAGAGAGAGAGAGAGAGAGAGAGAGAGAGAGAGAGAGAGAGAGAGAGAGAGAGGGAGAGAGGGGCTAAAACTGCATCACAGTGTTCCCAAATAGAATTTTTCAGTAAAATATCCATCACAAAAATGACTGTCGTTACCAAGAGTGGTCCCATGGAAATAAAAAAATAAATCAGAAGTACATTTTCTTTCAGTGTAAATACATATGATTATTATTATAAGGTATTTATTATCGTTATGAAATGAATGCCATTTTCTCCATTATTGAATTCTACATCTTTTCCCTTTTCATCGTCGGGCACTTGGAGCCCCGGAAGGAGATCTCTTTTTTTGTGTGGAACTTATTTCCTCTTACGATGTGTAAATGAAATATATATGATACATTTAGGTGGAAGTAGTGTTGCCATTTTAGCGGTTTTCCCGCTAGATCTGGATCTTTTTACTGAAATCTAGCTGGAAGAAAATGAGTTTAGTGGCTAGCAGCAAATTTTAGCTTTTTATGAAAATGTTTAGCGGTTTTCAGGATTTTTTTTTTCTAAAACATGTTATCATCTCATTAATTATGTTATTCCAATCCGATTCACAAAAATCAAATTGATGCTTGTATTTTCAAGTACCAGTTGCTAAAAAGTTACCAACTAACATATCACACGCGTATCACTCATGATTCCTACTCAAGTCTGTTTTGTTCCTGCCAGATAACGTCGGGACTCGGGCGATCTTTAGAGTGTAATCGGACCCACGCGAGGCAGTCATTCTTGATTGAGGTTGACGATCGTTGGTACTATACCGGTATATTGAATCTATTATTCAAAATGCCTAAGACGCAATATACACAGAAATTTCGAAGGGAGTGGCTTCATGTTGAAGAATTAAAACATTGGTTAACTTAAAAAAAGAAGGGAAGTGGTGAAAGTGTGCCTAATTGTAAACTTTGTCAGTGCATTCTTGTGCCTGAGTTATGTGCTTTGAAAGCTCACGGGAAAACGAAAAAACACAATGCAAATGCCGATTCATCCAATGCAAGACAGCTTACAATACCCTTTCAGCCTTTGAGAAAATCAAGTGAATCTCAGATAGCAGAAGGGCGTATGGCATTGCTTATTGCAGAACATATTTCAGTATCAACTTGCGATCTCTTGACTGATTGATGCAAGGCATGCTTCACTGATAGCAAAATAGCATCGATGGCAAAGATTAAGAGATCCAAGTGCAGTGCTATATTAAAGAATGTTTTGTATCCTCATTTCATGAGTGACTTAAAGAATTCGGTTGGTGATAAGAAATAGAATGCAGACGAAAATGATGAATGCTATTCTTGGAATACGTTCAGGGCTAAAAAGACATGGAAAAATCTGCTTTAATTATGAAGTGTCACCAGATGTTTTGAATATGATTGGGACAAAAAAGACATACATCACTTCCACTGAGGGAACATTGCTAGCAGCAGCAGCAGTTCACGAGGAAGAGCAGGAGGAGCCAGAATCATTAGAGGGCCATGAAGATCTGCTGTTTATATATATATATATATATATATATATATATATATATATATATATATATATATATATATATATATATATATATATATATATATAATGGTAAAGGTAAACATTGAATTTGTCTGTGTGTACATTTGGTATCGAGTTCCATATAACCAATCTTAAGTTTATTCTCATCCTCTTTAACATACAATGCCAATATTCATGTGCATTTTATATATATATATATATATATATATATATATATATATATATATATATATATATATATATATATATATGTGTGTGTGTGTGTGTGTGTGTGTGTGTGTGTGTGTGTATGTGTGTGTGTGTGTGATTACCTAATTGTGATTATCTAATTGGGTTTACGGGAAAGAGCCCAAAGCTCGTATCTTCCCGTCTCCTGATCGGTTCCATTTTATACTTAGTCATACTTATCATACCTGTCCTTAAAACTATGGATTGAGATACCATTAACTACCTCCTCGCTTAGCCAATTCCAATTATCAACTACTCTTACACTGAAAAAGTATTTCCTTACATCCTGCGAAGAAGTTTTCTTACGAAGCTTCAAACTATGACCTCTAGTTCTAGAGCCAGCCATATCAAAATATCGATCCCTATCCACTCTATCATAACTATGAAGGATTTTAAAGACTGTCACCATATCCCCCCTCACTCTTCTAGCTTCGAGTGATGGTAAGTCTAATTCCCTCAGCCTCTAATCATAACTGAGATTGCGTATTTCTGGCACCAGTTTCGTGGCATGTCTTTGAACTTTTTCAAGCTTAGATATGTGCTTTTTCAAGTGCGGATTCCAAAAGGGGGCTGCATATTCGAGTTTTGGCCTCACATAGGTTACATAAATACTTCTGAACATTTCCTTGTCCATGTGCCTGAAGGCTACCCTTACATTTGATAAGAATGCATATGCTGCCCTTACTATGCCATTTATATGTATTTCTGGAGACAAATCTGCCAGTATGTTTACTCCTAGATCTCTCTCATTTTCTGTCTCTTGAAGTTGTACTCCAGCCACCGAGTAGTCAAGCTTGGGCCTTCTTGCACTTGTACCCATTCTCATTACCTTACATTTTGAAGCATTGAATTTCATTAGCCACTTTTCTGACCACTCATGCAGATTATTTAGATCCTCCTGAAGTTCTCTACCATTGCTCTCGTTTTTTACTTTCTTCACAATCTTTGCATCATCTGCAAACATATTCATGAATGAATTTAAAGACTCTGGTAGGGCATTTACATATACAAGGAACAAAAGTGGCCCTAAAACTGAACCCTGTGGAACTCCACTACTAACTCTTCTCCATTCAGACACTGAGTGTCTTACTCTAACCCTCTGTTCCCTTCCTTCTAAGTAGTTTTTATCCATTCCAAAACATTTCCACCTATTCTAGCCATTGATTGCAGCTTCCTAATAAGTCTCCCATGTGGAAGAGTGTCAAACGCTTTCTGGAAGTCTAGGAATATGCAATCTGCCCAGCCCTCTCGTTCCTGTAAGATTTGGCTTACCTCATCATAAAATTCTAATAAGTTTGTTACTGTTGATCTACCTTCTCTGAAGCCATGTTACCTCACTGACAAAAAGTTGAAGGATTCCAAGTGAAGAGAGATATGTTTCCTTAGTAGTTTCTCCATAACTTTGCAAACTATGCTGGTCAAGGAAACTGGTCTATAGATCAGAGCCGTATCCCTCCTTCCCTTTTTGAAGATAGGTATCACATTTGCTTGTTTCCAGCATCTTGGAATCTCCCCCGACTCCAGTGACTCCTTAAATATGATACTTAGTGTGTGTGTGTGTGTGTGTGTGCGTGCATAGATAGATATATGTAGATGTATATAGACTATATATACTTATACACATAGTTTTAAGGACACGTATGATAAGTATCAATAAGTATAAAATGGAACCGATCAGGAGACGGGAAGATACGAGCTTTGGGCTCTTTCCCGTAAACACAATTAGGTAATTACAATGTACGTACAGCTTAGCGTTGACCTTTTTTTTTTTTTTTTTTTTTTTTCAATCTGTAGAATATCCTGTTAATCTAGCGGTTCAAAGTCCAAATCTAGCTGTTTTTAGGGCTCTGGCTAGCGGGAACTGAAAATATTTGATGGCAACACTGGGTGGAAGAGACAAGGAGAGGGAGGGCGTGTATTCAGGGGAAGGTTTGTATCGTGGGAGGGTATGGCTGTCGTCTTAGCGAGCCGATGAGTCGATGGCTTGAGGGGGGGGGGAATCCTCTACATCCCCAGAAAGAGAGAGATCTTGGTTCAGAAACTATGTGAATTAAACAGGTACAATTAAGATGGTGTCATAGCTCCAATGACGATGCATGTATGGCGAGATGGGACTTTGGGATTAGAGGCCAGGGTTAGTGAGTGAAAACATTATATATATATATATATATATATATATATATATATATATATATATATATATATATATATATA